AAAAAAAAATGAACGTCAGAGATTTCCTCTGCTCTGTCTGTCGTTTTCTTCCTGAGACCTTCGCTTAGTACTTCTTGCTACACCACCCTGTAAAGTGCAGAGCAGATGCAGGTGACTACGTTCACCGACACTGCTGGCTCTGGCAGGAGGAGATGCTCATGAAAGAGGCAGGACCCCATTAGGAGGCATCTCACAGCCATCCCTGGCTTTGGCACCCTCCCCATGCACGAGAAGAAAACAGCACAGGAAGGATGTGAAAGCAGCTAAACTGTCAGCAGGGAATAAACACCCTCTGCTCTCTAAGCAAAGGCCTGGGGTTCTGCCGAGGGTTGCAAGGTCACAGACAAGGGTGGCCCACAGGGACTCTGCCCTCAGCACGCCTCCAGTCTTGGGGAGAAGGGCAGAGCAAGGCCACATCTAAGGAAATGCTGCACAGAGGGATGTCTAGCTGCGCATCAAGCAGCAGACACTCTCACTGAGGAGCAGCTTGGTAAATGGGAGCGAGTCTAAAAGGTTTGCTCCACACGGAAAGAAGGGGCAACTATTACTAAGCAGCTCTTAGGTAACTGATAATTTTCTACTGGGTGGTATTAAAGGGAGGATTTTCCAAGTCAAATTGTTTTCAAATATGAACTCACACATAAAATCAGAACTTCTGAAGTATCCAGAATTTTTCTCCTGCTATTTCTATTAAAGTCTTGTGTTGTCTGTGTCCTGTCTTTTCCTACCCTCTCCCTTCTTCCATTAGGTCCTGTTCCTAATTCTCAATACAATTACAAGCTTAAAGAAGACAGTCCGACAGAGCTTGATTCCTGGCAACCTAGAAAATCCCAGGGGAAAAGGGCATCAGTTTATTTGTAGATGAAAGACATTAAGCCAGCCTTGTAGGTTAGCAGTTACCCCTCTGAGAGTAGTCATTTCTCTATTCAGAGAAACTTTCTAGGCTTGTTTGTACTGATGCTATGCACTTTGCTTATGACCCTTGGGTAGATATTAGCTGTTTATACAAAGATGTCCATACACGATTGGGTAATTGCTGTTTGCAGGACTCCTAAAATGCCTTGGTTTAGGACTGGCGTGGGAAGGCTCTATCTTGCAGACCTCTTCTGCACCCCTTCTGTACTTGGGCCTCAAAGGACTTCTCACTCTATTCCTGGTAGGGGAGTTGCTCCTGTTCTCAAACACTGCATCGGTAAGGTCGGGAGTGGCTTCCTCTAGACTTCCACTGCTAACACGGGACGCTGACAACTATAGGTGCTCAGTGAAGCTTTGTGCCAAGGGCAGAGTGTCCATTTACTACACTTCACGTTTGATTTTCATTAGCTAATAAGGAAGCGAGTGAGGGTAATGAGGTAATAAAAACTAACAATTTTATTCTATTCTTCATATTGATGCCACGTTATTTCACACTGCCAAGGAAAGGCCAATTTGGATGCCATGGAAAGTTGTGACAGATTACATGTAAAATGAAAGACACGTTAGTATGTTTTACTAAATTATAACGCTTTTGTAACACAACTAATCAGTAATAGATGCATTACTAATGTAATTTTTAACATAAAAACATCACCTTAATGAACCTCTTACTAAAAGCAGAAACGTTTTGAATATAAGGAGTCACCAAACAGAACAGACAGAGTGGAATGGTTCACGCTGTCCTCCCGCCAGCTCCACCCTAACACTCCATTATCGATATCACTGAGTCTGCCTGACTTCATGCTCCTTAGAAACTGCTGGTGCAGCACAAATTGAAATCAGCACGGCAAGAGCAGCATCTGCTGCCCAATTCTGGCCTAGGCCCTCTCTCCCTCATCTCTCAAAGCCTCTGCATACCTGGTTGGGTAGGAGCTGGGATCTTTTTTAGTAATACCGGCAAAAAATTCTAAGACTTTCATCTTGGTGGTTTCAGCGTGGGCCCTTGGGCCCCACAGGAAGTTATGGCGAGGAGGATCGCTGTCAGGCACCAGCCTGTATTCCAGGTACCCTTCCTGCACAAAGTCCTCGGTGATGAGTTTCCTGGGCTCATCGTATATGAAATGCTTACACCCAGCACACAGCCCTAATTTATTCAACACTTCCCAGAACTTCTCCTCACTGACACAGTTTCCTTCCATGAAGATAATGCAGAGGGACATTATTATGAGGCCCGTGTTGGGCATGCCCTGGGGACCATGATGCATCCCATCATAGGTGATGCCCAAAGCAGTGACAAGAGTGTAGGAGCGAGCAGCAGGGTCCACTTCCATCATGTCAATGCCAAAAAACAGCTTTATGCACTCAGAGGCCTCACTAAAGATCACAGGGTAGCACTCCTGATAATCTCTGTTGATGCAGTCCAGCATTTCTGCCTTGGTGGTGAGCTCCTTCCTTTGGTACTTGAGGAGCAGGAACTCCACCAAACGGACAACGTTTGTATTTATTTCATCGTTCAGGGGTGACTCAGCTTCTTTCCGCTCCTCTGTCTGGTTGCCAGAGGTCTCATCAGATGGTTTCCCTGAAATGCAGCCTGTGACAGCGAGAGGACAGGAGGATCTAGGAGAACTCCGGGGAGATCTTGGTGCTTCTCCACCAGACATCTCCGTTGATGTGGTGGTGGTGGCTTCTGCCTCCTCAGCCACGGGGATCTGGGCGCTATCCAGGTCACCTGCTTCACTTTGGACCTCAGAGCCGTTCAGGAGGTTGCAGGTCTGATTGTTCTGCATATGATCCATTGTGGCTTTGCTTGGGAACAGCAGGCTTGCAGCTCACAGGGATGGACTCAGACCTGGGAAAGAAAGGGGGAGGGG